CGCCATGCTGGTGGGAAGAGAGAAGGGGAACCAGAAATTGGGCTTGTCCATTGGTCTCATAGATCTAGTCTGCACATGGCTTCAGGTGGCCATCCAGGAGCGGGGGATAAGGGAGAGCTGGCCTGGACTCTGTCCTGAGACCGAGTACCCAGTGGCCCTGAGACTGGGACCAGGGCAGGCTGGGTYGAGCAGGGCTGAGTCCCAGGAGGCCAAGGCTGCCCGGGCAATCCCTGAGGCCGTGGACCCGGCTGCCAGGAAGAGAGCCGATGCCCTGATGCTCCGTGCTGTCCACCCAGCCACACTCAGTCCACCCTCGAGGTCACACCCACACCTCGCCCTTCCTTCTGCCTGTCTGGGAGGGTGAGGTGTGAATTGACGCAGGTGTGGCCCGCAAACCCTGACTCGCACTCAGACCACAGGGTGAGACCTCTGAGTTTTGCCATTAGCTTGACGAGAAGAGTGAGGCAGAAGGAAATTGCATGTGGTCAGACTGAGGGACCCACACAGCCTGAGCCGGGCAGGGGGCTCCCCCGCTCTCCTGGGTGCCTTCCACACCCTCAGCATCCACCTGGCACCGTTGAGCAACCCAACGGGTGCCCTTGACACTCAGGGACACCTGCACCAAGGGCATGACCTGGAGCCACAAACGGGGACACAGCTGGGACCTGAGCCCAGGGGAACTCCCAAGGGTGACGGCAGGGAAGGCAACAGCCTGTGACAGGAACCACACAGAGGACTCTTGAAGGGACCTAGCCACAGCCCCCAGTTGACACAAAGAGAGCTCCAGCTCTGAGTGCCGCAACGTCTGTGTGCCCAGGCTCTCTTCCCGCCCCTCTGTCCAGCGCCTGGCGTCCTCCATTCCTTCCCCGTCCATCCCTGTGCTTAGAACAGCTGGATATTGACACAGAGCTGGTCTCACCCATCCTGCTGGGGAAGAGGCTGGGAGAGTTTGGGGTMTCCTTAAAATATCAGTCACCTGGGGTCCCTGGAGAGCCAGGCTACAAGGCCCTTGTTTACCAATCGGTCATTCACACAGGGATTCTAAATACCACACAGAGTTGGCAAATCCGAGTGCCCAGGGCCTGGGCCTGGCTGTACCCAGAACTCTAGTGTGAAGACATCTGAGGCAGAGGGGCCACCTAGGTCCTAGTAGCCAAGCAAAGGGGACTGAGTGCAGCCCRGGCAACAGGGGAGGGATAGGGGACAAATAAGGGAGTGGGGTGGCCAACTGGGACATGCCCTCATCCCAGAAACTAACAGGCCCACTGCCTTCCAGAGGCGGGGCCTGTGCACGTCCTGTGTAGGCACCTCTCGAATCCAGATCCTCCCCAAGTCCTGCAGCACCAACTCCACCAAGCTCACGGCAGAGTCGTGCTGGTGAGTTTGCTCCCAGGGGCTGATGTCAATGGAGTTCACCCGTGAGCCATACAGCCGTCCCTGTCCCACCCCAGGTCAGTTCTCCCTCATAACTTACCTCAGTTTCTCCAGACTCTCCAGTCCTGCTGCAAGATGCATCTTCCCAAAGCCCTGCTCTGCTCCTCTCCCACCTGAAACTTCAGTGGTTCACTGCTGCCTTCCAAAACATGCCACACCCTTCACCTGCTGGTGCAGCTGTCACAGAGTCTAGGCCAGTGGTTTCCAAACCCTTGTTCAGTGTACTTAAAGGCAGGCTCCAAGCAGAGCCACCCACAGACATCTGATTCGGCAAGACCAGATGGGGACCCAGAGTCAGCATCCTGATGTGCACCTGGGGGCTCTGGTCAGGTGGTCCCTGTGCCACCATTTGCAGAACCTGAGTTCAGGCCTTGTCCCTCCAGGCTCTGGTCTAGTGTCCCCTGTACATCCCAAACCTGCTGGGCCACACTGCTCCCCAGCRCTGGTGTTTCTTCCGTCTACCTGGATGTCACGAAGTCTCTCCAGATGGCCTTGGCTGATCACAGAGGCCACCTGTGAATGAGCAGGARGGGTTCCTATGCCCCTCGACGCCTCCTCTCCCAGGAGGGCTATGTGACARGGGCAGGTGTGACCCATGGCACAGGAGGGCAGGGATGATGTACATGCATTTCAGATCTAGGGGTGATGACAASAGTTGGGGGCAACTTGTGGGGCATTCTGTTTGGAAGTGATACGTGCATGTCATGTCCTGATGACAGAAGGTGGGTTTGAAGGGCGTGTCTGTGTAGAGAGGGGATGTGTGCGTGGATGGCAGGGTGTGAACAGAGACAGGGTGTGTGCATGTCTGGGTTGAAGAGAGATATATGTGTGGGGAGAAGTGAAGCATGTGGGAGGGACACGTGCATTGTGTAAAGACACAGGATAAAGAGGGCCTTGTGTGTGTCCTCCCATATGAGGGGGTGTGTCATAGCACAAACCATGGGTTTACAGATGGATACAAAACGTATGTGCTCTGTGTGGTATGATATGGAGAGTGTGTGTTTGTGGGAAGCATATGAGTTTGTAGTATTTGTGGGKTGTTGTGGTGAGGGGTGTATGTTGGGGAGACACTGGCTGCCAGGGGCATACACAGCATCAGAGTGGGTGCAAGGAGGCCTGGGTGTGGTATTCTACATCAACCCTCTCCTGAAGACCACATCTAAAGAGCTCCGCCCTGTGGTGAGTCCCTCTTCTATGCAGCTCACTCGGAACCTCCCTGACCCCCTCCGGCTTCTGACTCACTCAAGGCTGCCCTTGAACACACTCAGGACATTACAGCACCCCAAGGGACAGTGTGCAGCCCACTCCTCATATATACTGCCCCCATGCTGCAGACCCAGTGAGCCAGACATGCATCTCCCAAAGGAGAGCCCATGTACGTCTCCCCGTGTCCCTGACTTCTTGGCTCGGTGTGATTAGTGGACCTGAACTGGCACAGTGATGCAGCACAGTGACTTTATCTCTCTGCTATTTCTGGATATCACACCCATGTCCAACCTTTTCCATTCCCACCCACCACAGGATAAAGAGGGCCTTGGTGGAGCCATCAATGCAAAACACAGCTGGAGGCTGAAGTCCAACATCCAGGTGTCAGCAGGGCCACATGCCCTCCGCAGCCTCCAGGGGAAACTTCTTGCCTCTTCTCAGCTCCTGGTGGCTCCAGCAACCCTTGGCATTCCTTGGCCTGGACTGCTGGGAGCCATCAGGGAGAGTCCAGGCTCTGCCTCTGTCTTCACATGGCTGTCTTCTCCSGTGTCTCTTCTCTCCTGATGACACCTGTCACATTACATTAGGGACCCACCTGCTCCAGCATGTCTGCATCTTAACTAACAGCATCAGCAGTGACCCTGTTTCCAAATAAGGTCACATTTGGGGGTACTGGTATTTAGGACTTCAATATAAACCACTTCCCCTCTCTCACTCCCCCTTCACCCTGAGCCCTGCAGGACTCCTGTGTGTGCTCTCTGGAGTCCTGGAGCCYATGGCATTGAACAGACTGGAACCTCTGGCACCCAAGTAACAACAGCAGCACACAACTGTAAGGGGCTGGGCAGCTTCTACTCTTCATGGACTGTCCCCTGTTTGAGTGCCACCCTATGCAACGAGGAGTTGCATCCCAGCCACCTCCATAAGAAGTGGCCAAGCTTCTTGCTCTGTATAAGATCACCTCCGTCCCCACTCGGGGCTCTTCTCAGCTGCCATAAAATAACTCAGATGTCAAAAACCACAGGCTGGCCAGGTGCAGTGGCACACACCTGTAATCCCAGYGGCTCAGGAGGCTAAGACAGGAGAATCGTGAGTTCAAAGCCAACCTCAGCAACAGCAAGGTGCTAAGCAACTCAGTGAGATCCTGTCTCTAAATAAAACACAAAMTAAGGCTGGGGGTGTGCCTCACTGGCCCAGCRCCCCTGARTTCAATCCCCAGTACCAAAAAACAAACAAAAAACCYACAGGSTGGTGTAGACATAATAAGTGTCTACGTGGCCTASAGACACCCATAAGCCAGGCCAGCCCCTTACCCCAGATACCCCTTAAGTTAAGTTAGAAAGTGTAGGAGSCCCCTCCCTCCCATTGCAGTGTGCACACACCCTGTTCCCTGATATAGAATGTTGGGATAAAGGAAAGAGAAAGGTTGGCCCAGGCCACAAGCCCCTGAACTTGCTCTGGGCACTGCTCCCCTATCACCAGGAACTAAAGTGCAGGGTTCCTAGGATGCACTAGAAACTGCTCAAAATGATCAACATCCTCACGAATTCATTTGGTTACTCGTTGCCAGGGTACRCGCCTCCACATGAACAAGGCCAGCGCTGCCCTCAGGATCCCCAGTTGGGAGGGTGCGCTGCCAAGCCCACCTGCGAAGGTCTAAACCATGGTGGGACACTCTGGGTGCAGCCCAACAAAGCAGGAGGAAATGAGAGGTGATCGTACTAACTGATCCAACTTCTAGCACTAGCCAGGGCGGGGGAAACCGTGTTGAGGTTGGCATGCATTAGCAAAAGCGAAACTGCCTCGGCGCTCTCTCGGCRGAACGCACGCCTCCTCACGTCCAACGCAGCACCGCTCCGCCCAGGGGCATCCCCAGCCTCCACGCCGCCGCCACCTGTGGCCCGCCAGGTGGCAGGAGCTCTGGCGCCGCCTGCCGGCCGCACGGCCCACAACCGTGAGAACCCCAGCGCGGGTCCGCGAGCCAGACCTGATCTTCTAAGGCAGGCGGAGTCTCCCTGGCCCGCTCCTCGAGGGGAACCTATCCCCGAGGCTGGCGAYCTGGGGAGACTGGTCCAGCAGCTGGACTTGGCCACTGAGCTAAGAGCACAAAACCAGGCTAATGTTGCTCAGGGGGCCTGCCTCCCCCACGCCCGGTGCAGACCCCGTAGTCCTGCTCGCCCTCGCCAGACAGCCCGCACCTAACTGGCCCCATATAGCGGATGGCGGGGCGGAGGGAGGAGCCTGGCAGGGTCCAGGCTGCGCGGAGGAGGCGAGGAAGGAGTGGGTGGAGCACGGGGCGGGGCGGCTCCGCGTTCACCCTGGCCGGCCAGCCTGCCCCAGCTCACCTCCTGTCAGGGGACATGACGGGCACGCCTGGCGCCGCCGCCTCCAGGGATGACGAGGCCGCCGAGCGCTCCCCGCCCTGCAGTCCGAGCTACGATCTCACGGGCAAGGTGAATCCCACCCAGGCAGCTGGGTCTCCCAAGAGGAGGGAGGGAGCGTCAGGACATAGCCCCTGGGACCATCTCAGCCTCTAGGCATCTGGGCGGGTGGATGGGTACCGGCAAGGGAGAGAACTGAACGACTCCCCCCACCCTACGACTCCAACACARTTTTCTTCTGCCACACTATGACCAGTTCGAGCCCTCCACTCACATTGGTAAGGGCTACCTGCACCTTATTTCTAGGAAGTGCCAGGAAACGGGGACCTCTGCAGACCCTGGCTAGCAGCTAGGCAACTTTTCCAGTTAAGCTCTTGCCAGAGACCTGACAACAGTTTCAAGGCCTTAGACTTGAAGTTCTTTAGGTTTCCAGCCTGCAGCCCCCAAGTGCTGCCCCTTCCCATCCCCAGGCTCCGAGCATTGCTTTGCTCCTTCAGGGCAGCTGTGGGCCAAGCCCCTCATTCCAAAGGCTGTTGCTACCCAGCAGGCAGGCCCACCTGGGGAATTTTAGAACCTGAGAAAAAGCTCAGCAATTAGACACAACTCCCGCAGCCTGGGACAGCTGTAAGACAGCTCTCTGCAGTCCATTCCCTCTGCAGGAGTGCCCTGGGAAGCAGGTAGGGTCTGCTTATCCTTGGAGTGAGCATGTATCAAGAATTTTGAAATAAATGCTGAGCGGGCTCAAAGCTCACTCTCTTCCTCTGCAAGGTTGAGATGGCTGTGCTGGATCATGCTGTGAGTTCTTCAAGGGGACCTGCTGCTGTGTCTTGGTTCCTCCCCAACAGCAGGGCTCACTCTCACTGGGGGCCTTAAGCCTCCACCCCAGGGTTTCAAGGGAAGCCACTCTGCCAGCCACCCACCCAGAGCCGTTGAGATAGGCGTCCTGTGTGGGCTGTGGCAGGAAACAGGCCCCTGCTCCCTCAAGGGAGGGGGAGCTGCTGAGGACCAGCTCCCAGGCTGATGTGGACCTCCTGACCTCTTTGCCCTATAAGACAGCTGGGCTGTTTGCCTGGGAGGTGGCAAGGCGGAGCAGATGTTTATGTTTGGTGGACTCGCCTGGCTGGGAAGATGCTGCATCATCAGCTCAAGGCAGCTGTGAACTGTAAAGTACACAGGCACTGACCCTACCCTCCTCCTTTGCCCTCTGGGGCTGCTGGGGGAGCAAGGAGTAGGGTCCCCATGCCCTCCGGTCTGTCCCCTGGACAAGTGGCATCTGCAAGAGTTGGGCCCCAGCCTTCCCAGGCTTGTGGCAGAAGCCTGAGTCCAGGACAGTCTGGGAGGAGGCTAGCAGGAGTTCGTTGGACCAGATTAGAAGGAATGGGAACCACAGGCAGGCAGTACCCACCCCTGGGCCACTCTTCCCTGAGACTTAGGTGTTCACAGTGATATTATATTATTGCCGTAGCCATTGACAGACTCAGAAAGACCTCAAAGAAATGATCCCTTCTCCTTCTACCTACCATAGAGATCATGGTACAGAAAGGTTGGAGAATCTTCCGGAAGTCACACACAGACCTTTCACAAGCCAGAACCCTAGCCTTATCACCTTTTGCTCAGCCCTGTCTCTCTACCAGAGTTCTATAGCCTATGGCAGGAAAGCTTTTGGCTCCACTATCAAATTCAGAGCCTTAAAAATCATGCAGACCTAGTCCCTGCTCAAGCCATCATGAAGCAGTCAAACCAGGCTGCTGGGAATATTTCAGCATTGAGTCTAGACTCCTGTTCTCTAAGRTCAGGGAATGACTGGGCACTGAGGTTCCCTTCCATCACTCCTACGTGTCCCCTAGAGAAGATGAGCAGACACTGATGAGAATCAAAGAGAGTGGGCATGCCCCACCCCCACACTCCCTCCCTCCTCACTTGCAGTGACCCAGGGATGCCAATTTGCAGCCATTTGTCCCACTTGGGAGGTTTTGGCTGAAAGAACTTCAGACCAACTGTCTCCCCGTCTCAGGGTAAATTTCAGCCTTCCTTGATTCATGCAAGCCTTTTTATAAAGAGAAACCCTCATTAGAAGCTTCCAAATAAATGCTATGACCCGCAAAGAAACCCGAACAACTGTAATTTTAGAATATGCTGAACCAGTGATGGTGCTCTGAAAGGCTGGTCCTGAAAGGCTCCCCTGGTAGGAACCCTGTCCCAGACATTAACACTTTCCTTCTTGGCACTGTGGCCCCACCCCCACATGTGCACCAGATGAAGAGCCCAGAAGGTCACCCCACAAGCATGGAAAGGAGAAGCAGGGCAACAGAGGTGGCGGCAGACCTTCCAAAAGCAGGTGCTGCTCCACGCAGCCCGCGTCCTTCCCTGGCCCTCTCCCCTCCTCTCATCTCCTTTTCAGGGTGTCTCTCCCTGGAATCCGGGAGCTCCCTCTGAATGCCCATTAACAGCCTCTGCCCCATCTCCTAGGTGATGCTTCTGGGAGACTCAGGTGTCGGCAAAACCTGTTTCCTGATCCAATTCAAAGATGGGGCCTTCCTGTCCGGGACCTTCATAGCCACGGTCGGCATAGACTTCAGGGTGAGGTGGCTGAAGGCTCCTCCTCCAAGCAGTGAGCTGGGGGCTGTCCTCTCCTTGCCCACCCTGGCTCCCAAGGAGTCYTATGGCTCCCTGCCTGGAGGGCACCGGGATGCTGCCCCAGGGCCATTGAGGTGGCCAGGTTAGAGGCATCTGGGCAGTGTTGATGCCTTCCCACCTACAGGGCATGAAAAACAAGACTAGTCTTCCTCTCTTCCATTCCTGGGGGCTGTCCCAGGCCAGGGCAGACCCACTCCATGAAGTAAGCTGCCTCTTGGCCCTGCAGGCCCCTTGCTCACTGCCCTCTGAGCTGAGCCCTTTTGGTAAGGTCTAAAGTTTGTCACCCTTTCTCAAGTACTCAAGAAGCATGGTCCTGCACTAGTCTTAGGAGCTGGGCTGGTTATGTGGGGMGGCAGCAGCTCACCAGGGTCCCTCCCTCTTCCTTCTGTACAAATCTGCATCAGGGTTGAGGAGCACCACACACCCAGAGAGTTCAGGAGAGGAAGGGTCTAGCCTTGGCAAGTGGGGCCGTGTGGGGGCTCAGTGCCTCCTCCCAGTGCTGAAGTTGCATTGAGAGAAGTATCAGTAGTTAAAGGGAAGAAGTCCCTGCAGGGCTAGCCTCGGAGGGCCCCAGATGCCAGCGGACACCTCATCTCTCAGGGTTCCCTAACAGTCCTGGGGCTGAGCCTGGTGTGCCCCACCCTGTGCCACCTGCTGAGGCCTGGAGAGAGCCAGGCAGATTCTCAGGCTCCCTTGTCCCGGCTGTGCTGTGAGAAGAGAGATTTCCACTGTGGGGGCGTCTGGGGACAGGGTCCCTGCTGCTCTGATGGGTGATCTGGCTGAAGACATCTCTGAGGCCCATCACACTGCCTGTAGGCCTGCAGAGGGACCATGACAGAATGTTGGCAGAGCCCAGGACGGAGCCTCACCTGCCCTCTCCACCCTCTGCACTTTTCTCTTTCAGAACAAGGTGGTGACCGTGGATGGTGTGCGGGTGAAGCTGCAGGTGAGAGAGAGAGAGGCTGGGTGAGGAAGGGAGGAGGGAAGAGCTCGCCCTGGCTCTTCACCCCGAACCGCAGGAGGCCTGAAGCCTTGCCCTCAGCCTGGGGTAATTTCCTGTGGGGCCCATGAGAGGAAATGGCTTTTGTTTGTTTGATGTCTGCAGAAAAAAGCAGTTCCCAGGCACCCTCTCTCCTATCACAGGCTGCTCAAAGTGTCTTCAGCCGAGCTTAGCTCCCTCTTCCATCTCCTCCCCAGCTTTCTGGGCTTCAGCTACTCAGGAGGTTGGACACCCCAACCCCTGGGCTGGGCAAGAGACAGCCAGCCCTCAATGGGTTTGAGAAGCTAATACCTCCCACTGTCCAGTTCTCAGAAGCCTATGAGAACCTACAGAAGGAGACAGTCCCCTCTTCCCAGCCAGCTCTCATGCCACAGAATGMACCCTTCCAGCCAGCAGTCCCAGTGCCCGCCTCCTCCTGACCTCCTCTCCACCCCTTCCTAGATCTGGGACACCGCAGGGCAGGAGCGGTTCCGCAGTGTCACACATGCTTACTACCGAGATGCTCAGGGTRAGTCCAGTGCCCTCCACTCCTTCCCCAGCCCCTCTGTAGCTCCCATGCTACTGCCCTGAGTCTCCTCTGTCATCTCTGTTCCCCTCCAGCTTTGCTCCTGCTGTATGACATCACCAACAAATCTTCCTTCGACAACATCAGGGTAGGTCCTCCCTTCCCAGGGTGCCCCACCCTCCCACCCCTATGGAGCCAGGGCAGGGCCTATGCAGGCCAGAACTGCTTCCTGCTCTGTGAGAGCAGGGCAGGTCTTGGAATCCCACAGCCTTCCAAGAAATACTTCACTGTGACTGGGCATTTGATTGCCATGTGGGCATGAAGACCAAGCAGGGTATTGTGCCCCATGCCACTGCACAGTCCTGACCATGATTCATGAGTGTGTCTCATGTCAAAGTGTTCAGAACAGTTCCAGCTCCACCCTGGACAATTATCTACAGAGACCCAGGGAAAAGCCCAGCCAGAAATGTCTACRCAGACATTCAGCCCAAGGTGCAACTCAAGCAGACAGAGTGGCTATGTCCTCACAACATATATTAGACGAAAGAGACAGTAGCTCAATAAATATTGGCTCTGTGCACAATATTGTGTAGGTTTCATGTGCTCCCTGACCTCAAAGGCAGTGTGCTAACAAACAAACGGGTAATTAGATGTAAAGATTTAAAAAAATGCTGGAAAATCTATGGCACTCATGTTACCACCTCCAACCGTATGCTCATGGCAGTCATCACTAATCAATCAGTACTCTGTGTGTGCGCGCAYGCGTGTGTGCATGTGCRTGCTGGGAATCAAACCCAGAACCTCACGTTAGACAAGTGCTGTACCACTGAGCTACATCCCCAGCCCCTCAATCATAGTTCTTTGATCACTGAGCTCATATGTGGTCTTAGAATCCTTAACAGGGCACTCGTGGAGGACAATGGCCTGGGCCTCAGCCTTGGCCTGGCTCAGCTCACCCTCTCCCACAGGCCTGGCTCACAGAGATTCATGAGTATGCCCAGAGGGATGTGGTGATCATGCTGCTAGGCAACAAGGTAAGTGGCTAGGTGGCAGGGTCAGCCCACCCTGCGCCCCCTCTCCCCCTGCCTCAGCTTCAGCCCCACTGTGCCTTACAGCCACCCAAAGGAAAAGTCCCTCCAGCAAAGGACTTTCCAGTATCCTGTTCAGAGGTCAGACACGTCTGGCCACTTCTGCCTAACCTACCTTCCCCCTGCAAGCTTTGGAAATAGCCTCCTCCAGGAAAGCCAAGCTGCTGCCCAAGAGACTCAGGGTGGCCCAGCTGCCAGCCCCCATTAGATCACAGAGAACAGTTCAGGGGTCAAGAGCTAAGGCTACAAAGCGTTGTCCCCAACTGCTGTCAGCCCTCTGAGATTGCGTCACCACCCCACTCTTTGCCAAGGAGAACTACCCTCCTCCTGATCCAGGGGTGAGATCCCAGGGCTGGGATCCCAGGGCTGGGATCCCAGGGCTGGGAGAAGGGTGTACTCTTTCACAAGGCAGAAACCCTGGCCCCAGGCCAATCACACCTGCCCACAGTCCCTCTGGTCACCAGCAGAGGGCGGGCAGTGCCTGCTCCTGGGGCAAAATAAGGGCCAGCTGGGGTTAAGGTTTCCTTCCTCAGAGTGACCCACATGGGCTTGACAGGCGGATGTGAGCAGTGAAAGAGTGATACGCTCGGAGGACGGAGAGACACTGGCCAGGGTAAGTGACTGCCAGAGGGGCAGGGGAACAGTGGGGGCAGCCAGAGGCTGCCCTGAGGACACTTTCTCCCTGGCAGGAGTACGGAGTTCCCTTCTTGGAGACCAGCGCCAAGACAGGCATGAACGTGGAGTTAGCCTTTCTGGCCATTGCCAAGTGAGAGCTGAGCAGGGAAGGGAACCGGGCAGGGCAGGGTGGCATCTGGGAACCCAGCAGTGCCTAGCCCCTGGCCCAGGCYCTGGGCCCACTTCCATTCTGAGCTCCATTTGTTCCCGGCCAGGAGAACAAGGTGGGGAAAAGCTCAACTTTGCACCCTCAGCTCAGCCAGCCCCTCGCCTCTTCCTCTTCCTCTTCTAGGGAGCTGAAGTACCGAGCTGGGCAGCAGGCTGATGGGCCCAGCTTCCAGATCCGAGACTACGTGGAGTCCCAGAAGAAGCGTTCCAGCTGCTGCTCCTTTGTGTGAATCCCACAAGCTRAGACGAGGCCCCAGAAGACCTTGGAGCTGCAGCCATCTCCCCTTGACTGGTGTATTCTGGGAGGTTGAGTCAATGGGGAGGGAGCTGGGGGGCCCAGTGCACTGCCCCTTCCCATAAGGCCGCAGCACTCCTATAGCTTCCCTGCATCCTGGGGGAGGGTAAACCGCTTATATTTTATCTTAATGATACAAAATTTCATACTAAAAAAGAAAAAAAGATACCAGGGTTTCCAGAAAACCGAGAGAGGGACCTGGTGGCCCTTTTGCCTTTTCGGATTTAGGATTAGGACCTAAGAGGCTAGGCCATCCTCCTAGCAATGACATGGTAGTGCCGCTCCAGCTCAGCACCAGGGAATACCAGTGCACTTCTGGGGTGTGAGGGTAAGTAGTTAGTGTCCCCGTCACCACCCTCACTCAAGCCTTCATTTTCTCCAGCTCCCCAGGAAACAGTCTTAGCCAATAAAATGGACCCTAGTGCTGGGAGCTGGAAGGAAGACTCAGGGAAGATARGAGTTGTGGAGATTAGGAGGGGCCCACCCAGCTGCAGACAGGAATAGAAGTGACTAGGGTTTTTCTGTGGCTACCTCTGGTTTTCCTAAACCCACTCCTGGAGGCGTGCTGTTTTTCCTCCAGCACATTGCAGCACTTGGAAACATTGGTTCCTGTTCTCTGGACCTCAGATCCCAGAGGAGCCACTCCCCCTGAATCCCTGACTCATTGGTTTCCATCTCTGCCCCTAGACACCTGAGGTCAGAGCTAGGAAAAGTTTCCTCCCATCTCAATCTTTTGGCAGGTGTTCAGCCCTGCAGCTATTTTTTCAAAGCTACTTAGCTCAATTGGGTTAAGAACCAGATAAAGAGAAGCCCCTGGCTCCTGGAGCAGGTGGAAGGCAGAATTGAGGAAACCTTAGGTCTAGCTCCCTGAACCCAAGCTCTCCCTCCTTCCTGACCACTGTGCCCTTTTTTTGAACTTCATAGTCAGTCACCAGGGTCAAAACTGCTTTATCTCCCCTCCCACTGAGTCAGGGTAGCGAGTGGAAGGTCCCATTTCTTTGCGCAAATGCAGTGTGTGCAAAACAAGGTCATGTGGGTAAACCTGGGGTGGGGAGAGGGGCAGCAAGGAGTTCTTGTGTCCAGGAAATATGCAGGTCAGGACCTAGAGTAAGCACCTTTCCTTTAGCTCTGCAGGCAGGGCAGGGAGGGGTGGAGAGGTACTACTTGCTGGACATTTCTGAGGCTGCTGCATTTGCTTTTAAGGCAGAAATCTTGCTCTCTGAGCACTCAGTGGCTCCAACTTGAATTGATAAGGAAGCTCTCAGTGGCCTCTCCCAGGTGAATCAAGGAGGAGCCTGACCTCCCAGGTCTGTTTTCTGGCCCTTGGCAGGTTGCAGCAGGAGAGTCAATCATGTAGACAGCTCTGGGCCTCTTGCATTTGTGTTTTTCATAATTAAACTGCAGTATTTTGGAAAGTACACCTTGTCCACTGTTGGTTTGAGGTGCCCGTGGGAGGAGGGACCACGTTGAAGAGATTGTTATCTCGTTTTGGGGGAAATGTCCTTACCAAAATCACCCTTCATTGTTCTCACAGAGTAAATTCACCCTGGCCTCTGTGACCAGCCTCTCATCTGGCAAGAGGGAGCTGGAAGGCTTATTTTACAGTCCTAGTCATTTTTCTTTCTCTGTTGAAAAAAGGCCAGGGCTCCTTTCCCTGTGGAGTGTACCCTGTGACGGATTACCTGGACTATTCTGCCTCTCTCCACCCCATCTCCCTGGCCAAAAGCTGACCCAGTGTGCGACATTGCCCTGGGTGGTTTGTCTTTGCTCAGGCGGCGTGACGCCTCAGACTATTTACTGAGTTTTGTCGCTTTTGCGGGTATTGGAGACTCACCCCTAGACGTAAGTCTTGAGACACTGTTATTTAAACAACTCTGTTGTGTCCAGTTCTTACGAAGGCCGGTCCTCGCTGCCCCAGTGCGGGGCGGGGGGAGGGCGGTTTCCCCGGCAACTGTCGCTCCCCTCCAACCCAGCGCTACGACAGACAGACTTGGCTAAAGGCCATTACGACACGAGGGCGCTTAAACCGGGGGCTAGCTCTCCTCAACCCACGCCAAGGGGGAAAACCAGCAGCAGTCTTCGTCCTCTCGGTACCTGGAACTCTCTGGGGACAGGGGCCCCGCCCACGCCGCCCGCCCCACTCCGGCACTTGGTAACAAACACTTCCACTTCCTGAGCCCTCTTTCTTCGCCCGCCGCGGGGCGCCGAACCGAGCACAGACCCCGCCCATGCTCCTTCCCATTGGCCGGCGTCGTTCACCCGGCCCGAGCGCCCCTGATCGTGGCTCCTGATTGGTCTACTGGAACCCACACCCTCGGCGCGACCCCGCCCCCAGGACAAGGGGCTGGACGGGTTCTGGAACGCTCAGACGCCGCGCGGGCGGGGATTGGTCCGTCTTCCTCCGTGGGTTCCTCGTAGTTCGCGGTCTCTGTCCCTGGGACACCTGCGCTCTCCGCCCGTCCGGCTGAGCAGGGATTCCCTGCTGCTCTCCCTCTCGCCTCCCAGTTCTTAGGGCGCAGAGAAAGGCTGGGCGGTCGCGTCTCCCGCCCCCGACGGGACCCCACTTCTCGCTGCTGAGCAGTCGCCGAGCGAGATGAGCGCGGACGCGGCAGCCGGGGCGCCCCTGCCCCGGCTCTGCTGCCTGGAGAAGGGTCCGAACGGCTACGGCTTCCACCTGCACGGGGAGAAGGGCAAGGTGGGCCAGTTTATCCGGCTGGTGGAGCCCGGCTCGCCCGCTGAGAAAGCGGGGCTGTTGGCTGGGGACCGGCTGGTGGAGGTGAACGGCGAGAATGTCGAGAAGGAAACCCACCAGCAGGTGGTGAGCCGGATCCGCGCCGCGCTCAACGCGGTGCGCCTGCTGGTGGTGGACCCCGAGGCTGACGAGCAGCTGAAAAAGCTCGGCGTCCAGATCGGGGAGGAGCTGCTGCGCGCCCAGGAAGGGCCAGGACAGGCCGAATCGCCGGCCGCCACCGAGGGGCAGGGAACTGGCGCCGAAAATGAATCGCGTGAGGCCGAGAAGAGCCAGCCGGAGCGGGTAAGTCCAGGCGGGGGAAGAGATCTACGCACCCCGGACGTCCAGCCCTCCTAAAGCTCTAGCGGCGAGAGGGAAACTGCTTCCGCCCGCCGACCCGGCGCCCTCTCAGGTCCTGGGCAGGCGTGGGGCTGCTCTGGCGACTCCATCCCCCTGCCCAGACTGGCCTGGAAGACTGAGCGCTTTTGCCGCCTGCACCTTTCTTTRCCCCCTGCCCATTTAGAAGGGCGGCGCAACGGAGCTCAGTCCCTTTTTCCAAGGCTCCTGCCCCTCGGAACCCAAACCTGCTCCTTCCTGGGGCCCTCCCTTGGGCCACCCCAGCCCGCAGCTGGGACGGGAGGAAGGCCCCTCTGCCCCAGAGGTGCCAACTTTCTCTACGGCCCCTGTGGGTGGTAACTGAAGGTAGGGTGATGGCGAGTACGTCCCACTCAAAAAGCTGGAGGAATAACAATCCCCTTTCAGTGCTGAGCCCCCGGTGTAGGAAGGGCCCCCCCCCAGGCTCTCCCACACCTGCGCGCGGCCATTCAGCCCCCTGCTGTGTTTATTATAACTTCGCCGGCTGGACTTAGTCTTCCCAAAGTCCAGAGTGACTTCTAAGAAAGAGAAAGCCCCAACCGCTTAGGGGCAATGTATGGGGGTGGGGATAGGGAGGAGGCGCCAAGGCGTCTTGAGAGGGGTGGCTCTGCCACCCAGGAGGATTTATGATTCTTAGGAATGTGAGGAGTAAGCGCTAGCTCTTCAGGGAGCAGGAGGGAGGACCTTGGAGGGGGAGGGGAAAGATGGCTGGGGGAGGGAGCAGGCGCTCTGCCAGGCCCAGCCCTGGTGCTGGGAGCTCACCGTGAGCAGTGGTCTCCCCCAATTGTCACTGCTAAATCCGGTTCTGGGACTGCTGGCAGGCTGGCCGCTTTTGCCTATGTTTAGGCTTTCCCCAAAGGATCCCAGTTTGGATCAGCTGCAGGAGGGGCCACTGGCAAAACTGGAGCTGTTGTGCTGAGCTTTTATCCCAGGAGAGCAAGGGGGTGGTGCCAGGGTGCCAAATGTGGGAGCAGGGCCTCTTTAGGTCCACCAGCTCTCTACCTGCAGCGGGGCAGGGGTGTCTCTGGAGCCAGGAGGATCCTCATTGACAGAGAAAGGGCACAGTTCAGCACTAAGGTAGAAGGTGGAGCCTGAGAGGACCAACTGGTTTGGTGGAAGTGAGGTCACCAGGAGCCCTGTCCAGCCAGAGCTGGGTACTGGGAATGCCAGGCCACTGGGCTCCCACTTCCTGCCACTGCCAAGCTGGCATTGGCAAGGGGTAGAGGAGAATTTGAAGCACCCGTGACAGGGAGTTGACACCAGGGAGTTGGAACAGATGACCTCTCTGTCCAGGCAGAAACTCAGGTGAACTTTGTGCGGAGTCCATCGATTGTTCCTGGTTCCCTTTTCTTTCCTTTGGACTTTGGCACCCGCACCAATAACACCCCCCACCATCCTGTCGCACTGTGTCCAGCTCCACCCTTTGCCCTTTTGGTTCTGCTTCTGGGTCCCACAGGGTGGGGGGGAGGGGGATGGGGGGAGGCAGATCTGAAGGGTCAGCACAGCATGTACTCTCCATCACACCATGGGCCTCCTGATCTCTGGGCTGCCCTGGGTGAGCACAGAATCAGGTTCCCCCAGATCATGGTGTGACACCTACATTTGTGTGTGTTCCTTAGGTGGAAGATGGGACACCATGGCCAGGCAAGTCAGCCATTCTCGGAGATTTGATTTTTTTCCCATCTATAAAACAGGAGTACTATTGTAGGGAATTTTAGAAATAATGGGAAGTTCTAATCCCCACTAGATTCTGAGTTTGGCACATTTATGCCCGGATCCTCGATTCCCAGCTCTGTGCAGCCAAATTCCTCAGCTTTATTCATACCCAGTCAGCACTGTGAAGCCCATCCAGAATAAAATCCCCATATACCAGAAGGCGGCCCACCCTGCTACTCCAGAAACTATCAGTGAAGGTTGTGGGTTTTTGTTTTTTTTTTTTAATCCTTAAAGACATCCTTTTCCCACATAAAGCATCTAAGAATGTGTTGCAGTGTGGGAACTGTTCTGTTAGTTCTTGTAAGTGACAAGGTGCTACATGTGGCTGCTGGCGCAGGGCTGGGAGGACCAGCCCACCAGGTCGAGAGCCACACAGGGCAGAGGGTAAGGGGTGCCTGGAGCCCTGTCGTCCGCACTGGGCATTCTAGCCCAGTCTAGGTACAGGTAGGCTTCCTGACTTTTTGTTTTTTGGTACYAGGGATTGAACCCAGGGTATCTTAACCACTGAGCCACAGCCCCAGSCCTTTTTAATTTTCTTTTTATTTTGAGACAGGGTCTCCCTAAGTTGCTTAGAGCCTCACTACATTGCTGAGGTTGACTTTGAACTTATGATCCTCCTGCCTCAGCCTCCCAAGCCAATGAGATTATAGGCATGAGCCTCCTGATTTCTTGATGGCCTCACCCACCTTCACTCATGGGAACAGAGGAGCAGCAACCCTGTTCTGGGGCTTCCCCATATAAAGCCCTTCTCCCCCCATTAACCCCAGTCACAGCACGAGGCCTAAACTCCTGAACTAGGACCCAAAGTGACAAGGCAGGCCTGAGCCAGCTCAGCATTACTGGGGCTGCCTGAGCCAAGTTGCTTCACCTCCCTAAGCCTCCATTTCCTCTTGTGTAAATTGGGGGTGAGGGCAGTGACCTCATGAGGTTGTTGGGATTACATAAAATTGTATTACCGTAATCTACTGCATAATTGTCACCACCACATTAACACGTGTTCAGGAGGATTCCATGCATCCTAATCTTGCACCAAATATAGTTTAGTAACAAATTATTTTTAAATAATTTTTTTTTAAAGCTTCACATAGCTAAGCATGGTGGCACATGCCTATAATCCCAGCTAATCCCAGCAAGAGGAGGTTGAGACAGGGACAATTGCGAGTTCTAGGTCAGCCTCAGCAATTTAGTGAGACTCTCAGTGGCTTAGTGAGACCTGTCTCAAAATATAAAAAGAACTGGGGATATAGCTCAGTAGTAGAGCACCCCTGGGTTCAACCCCCAAAACCAACCAAAACAAAAATAGGGCTTCACATAATGGTTGCCCCCCACTTTTTAGCAAAGAAAAAATTTGACATAATATCTGCAAAATTATGCAACTACATACCTTAAGTCACCCAATACCTGGGACTAAGTAAGTGCTCAATAAACATTGGTTGTTGGCATTTGAATTCATAAATAGTTAACTATAATTATTACACCCCACCCATGGGATAGCCGGCACTGAATCTGTCTCACTAGTTGGGCAGGTGCAGTGGTGGCCAAGCCCAGCCCTCAGAAGGGCTCAATCAATAGTCACTGTTGTTTAATAGCTACCTGCTGTCCCAGGGACCTCCACAGTCTGGCAGCCCACTCTCCCTACTGCCCCCATCATCCTGGAAGCCACACCAAGGGTTCAAATTCTCCTTGAGCATGCCCTACCCTCTCAGTATTCCTTGGACTGGAAATGATCCTGTCCCCTTCTGCACTAGGGACACTCTTTAAGACCTCTCACCTCCCATGGAGACTTTCCTTGATCCCAAAGGCAGAGAGGCAGAGCTGGCCCCTGGGTTCCTCCTCCTCTTTGTCTTGTATCTTTGATCACTCTTACCACACACCATTTCAGTGTCTCTCTGTGACCTTCTCCTCCATTTCATGGCAAGCCCCAGGGCAACAAGTGCAGCTTTATGTGCCTTGCTATCCCTAGCACTGTGCCAAGCCCATAGGAGGCAGGTGCTCAATAAATAATTTGGATTAATGACTGAATACCGAGCAGCTGTGTGGGATCTTTGTCTCAGTGCAGCACACCGGGCTTATTTGTGCCTCCAGCACACTCAGAGATTGGAATTCCAGATAGAATATACCCACTTACTCTTCTTGCCTGCTAGCAGCTTCCATTTTAGGAGCAGGAATCCAGAAATCTAGCTCTGCTGCTTGCAGGCTCCGGAACCCAAGGAGTTTGCTGTTCCCTGYGAGCCTCAGCTTGCATCAGCACCCATCCCCCACCCAGGGTTGCTGGGAAGATTGGATGAGATGACAGGTGTGAATGTGGAAGTGCCCCGCTTGAGGTGGGTTCCCCTCAACCTCGATGGACCCTGATCCTGGTGCCGATCCCAGAGGCAGACAGTCCAATGCCTTAGGTAGCAAGGTGGGTGGGTGGGGGACACAGCTAGCTGTCCGGCTGTCAGCCTCTCTCCCAGGGCGACCAGGTTTGAGCTGCTTGATGCTTGCACTTGAAACAAGCTGTGCACTGGTTTGCCTGTGGCTGCCTGCTCTTAAGTCACGGCTTTGTGATTGTTTTCTCTCCTGGTGCCACAGCAGAGCCCCTGGTTGCCACTCCAGGCTCCCGTTAAGTTGTATCAGTCATTCTGGAAATTATTCTCTTGGAGGTCTCTAGAAAGGAGCTTCCATCTCAGGGAAACTCGGTTAGATAGGGGGCCCTCCCCAGATTTCCCATCCCTGGGGTCCCTGGGAAAGCGGGGAGCGGGTGGTAGGGAGGAATTAGAGGAACAAGGCAGTCTGCCAAGGTCTGTCGGGGCTGCGGGCTCTGCATGGGAGAAACCGGAGCTCTGGGCCCCATGAGCAGCTGTGCCTTTGCTCTGCCCTTTTAAGCTAGAGTGACCCTGGGGGGGATTCAGATTTGCAGGATGCCTGCTCAGTTCATGCATGTGACTGCCCCCCAAGGCAGGTATTAGCCCTATTCTCTGCCTGTGGAGACTGAGGCTGGTCAGTTTGGGCAGTTAGGTGGCCAGCTCCAGGACCCCCAGCTGGTGAACGCAGAGCTTAGTGACCAAGCCTCTCCATACCTGGCCCCCAGCCTCTCCTTGCTGGCTCTCGAGCCACCTGGAGCCACCTGAAGCGCAAGGAGCACTCCCCGCCCCCAGGCTGGCCTTGACTATTGACTGAGCCCTCCCCTCAGCACGGGATAACCTGCCACGTCGTCCCCAGACGCCTAG